TGACACCCCTCTGAGCCCCAGCCTCACCCACAGGACGGTGACAATCGCCACTCGGCATCCGGCTCCCTGCTGGACCTCGACATCCCGCTGGCCGTGGCCAAGGAGCGCGCGCACCAGAAGCGCACCAGCAAGAGGGCACCCCAGATGGACTGGAGCAAGAAAAACGAACTGTTCAGCAACCTGTGAAGGCCCTGAGGCGGGGTGGGTGTCTTCTAGCACCCCCCCAGCCCCATACCCACCTCTCCTGCACTCCTCTCCTCCCTGCCATGGGCTCCTGGTAGAGATGTGGGGCTGCTCCCTCCACCCTGACCCAAGAGCTGGGCTTGGTGGCCAGTGAGCATCCCTGCAGAGGGGTTCTGGCCCGGGGGTGCTGGGGGTGCCCCCTCCCGAAAGCTCATCCCCAGGGTGCTCCTCCAGCCCTGCCTTGAAGCCCTGCACACCCTGGTAAGCACAAGCAGGGGTTTGGGAGGGATCAAGGGTTTGGGGTGGCCTGATGCCCAACACTCCTGGTCCCCACTGTTCCCTGTTTCTTCCCCCATCCCAAACCTCATCTCTGTTTGAGATCCCTCTCCCCCAAATTACCCTTTAGCTGTAAAACCTGAGGCTTTAATGTCTTCTCCCAAACCCCACCTGCCCAGCCACTGACCACAGCCAGGGCATTTCACCCTGGCCTGGCAAGCTCCGTCCACAATGACCCTGTCCCTTTGCCTCTTCAGCTGCAAGGAGGGGTATGGGTGCCCAGCACTGGGGAGTGCCCAGCACCCTGCCCCGGGGCAAATTTTGGGAGAGGAGAGGGTGTCTGGAGCCAGCACAGCAAGCAATAATAGTCTCCTTTGCTCCTGCACACTCCTGGAGACGGAGCCAATCAGGGTTTGAATCCAACACTGTTTAATTTAAAAGCTTCTCACAGACTTTTTGGTTTTTTTCTGAAATGAGTGTTTTTCCAATCACATCTATTTTTTTTAACCTGTATTTTGTGGAAATTCTTCCTGTGGATGTTTTGTTTCCATGTGCTGCAATCAGGTGTTGTTGTACTGTTGAGCTCAAGAGAAATTCTGTTTACTGGAATAAACCTTTCTGACTTCACAAGTCTGGTTTAAGGCTAAATCCTTCCAGAGCCTGAGAGGGTGCAGAGGGCTTGCTGTGGCCCTCTGGGGCTTGGGGGAAAAATGGGTAACTGGGGGGCACTGGGCCTGGTTTGGTGCCCCTCAGCACGTGATGGGGACAGGCTGAGGAGGCACCGGCTGGTCCCAGTGGGGGTTAATGCCTCGGGGTGATTAATGAGCTTTAATCCCTGGGGAGTGAGGGGGGGCAGGGAGGGGAAGGGTGGTGATGCAAAGCTCTAATCTGGGTCTGCTGGCCAGGCTGGAGGGCAGGAGCTTTGTTTGGGGCAGCCCAAATGTGCCCCCAGCCCCTACAGGGGGTTTTGGGATGAGTCTGGGCTGCACCTGGGTTGAGGAAAGGCAGGGGGATCAGTGAGGGGAGGGGTGCTTGTCCCTCTGAATGAATGGATGTAGCCTTGGGTGGCACAGTAGGACAAGGCAGGGCTGTGCCTGGCCTCTGTCTGGTATTTTTGCTTCCTCCCCTTCTGCACACTCTTGTTTTGTGCTCCAAATCTGCAAAGAAGCTTTTCCACCTGAGCACACAAATGGTCACAGATCTTTGCGCCTCAAGTGACACCTAGGTGACAAAGTGCCACCAGATTCCTGGGGATGTGCAGGCTGTCACTTCCTCCTGGAAGCAGGGGGAGCCCATTCCAGCTTGTCTCATTCTCCAAAGACGTGTCCTCTGAGGGACGGTGAGCCCTGTTTTCCCATCCTCATCGCATTGGGGCAGCAGGACACCCCTACCTGGCATGGATGCCACAGGGAGCAGGGCAGGAGTGGGGGCACCCAGCAGGTCCCAGCAGCATCTTTTCCCTCTTGGCCTGCTCAGAGCAGCTGGGCACTGGTTTCCTGTGGGAGCCCTGTGTGAGCCCTGCCAGGACTCTTCTCCCCAGCCTCTGGGGTGGGCTGNCAGTGTCCCTGCTGCCGCTGGTGACTCACGGCACAGCCGCCCAACCTGCGCCAGCCTGCTGGTCCCCACCCACGGGTGCAGCACTGGGGAGGGCTGGCACTGAGCATTAATTAGCTGTCTGGGGGTTAATGAGCAGTAGCACTGTCCCTGGGGATCCCCTGGGTGGCACAGGCTGGGACAAGGTGCACGATGATGGCGACTCCTGCTGTCAGGTGTGACCAGGGTGGGGATGAGCTCAGGTTTGTGCCACGTGGGATGATGATCCATGAGAGCAAGGACCAGCTGAGCCCCAGCCCTGCTGCTCACCGGGGTGTGGGGCTGCTGCCTCTTCTGGGGTGAAGCTTGTGGGGTTTCTGGAGACCATCACTTGGCACAAGGGTTTTGAACCATCCCTGGGTTGGGAGTTCCCTGCCAGCTTTGCCCATTCGACCCCATGCCAATTACTCAGAGGAAAATCTGCTTTTAATGAGTTTTTTCTGGCTTCACTGCTAATCCCTGTGAGGCCATGAATGCCTGTGGGGGCTATGGGGTGGCTGTGCTGGGATTATGAGCGGTACCAAGGCTGGTACCTGACCCCTGCATGGTGCTTGTGAGGGATGGGTGTCCCCCAGCTGCAGTGGTGATGTGTACCTGCAGGTGAATGGTGTGTGCATGGAGGGCAAGCAGCACAGTGACGTGGTGGCAGCCATCAAGGCGAGTGGTGACGAGACCAAGCTGCTGGTGGTGGACATGCTCACAGATGAGTTCTTCAAGAAGTGCAAGGTGGTGCCCTCAGAGCAGCACCTGACAGGTGGGCTGGGGACTGTGCCTCTGGGAGGGGTTTGTGCCACCTCTGGTGGCTCTGTGTCACCTTCTCACCAAACCTAAGGGTGCTGAGCCCTGGGAGGTGGCCTTATCACCTTGGGGCCAAGCAGAATCACCTGGCTTTGGCGTCTCCCTGCTTAGCCAAGGGCCCCATGCAGGGCTGGTGGGGCTGACGTGGGCAGGTTTATGGCCCTGGGTTGCACTTTGGCAGGGTTTATGGCCTGGGCAGCAAACAGGCATCAGCTGCCCTTTGCTCTCCAGGAGGATGGGGAAGGGGTCTCACTGGGCTCCACATTGCAGCTGCCATCGTGTGGATGCCACCATTCCCCTGTGCCACGGGGCTGGCTGCAGTGGGTGGTTAAAAAGTTCAGGACCTGGCCAGACCCTGGGCCGTGTTGTGTGAGCATTGGCCATGTGCAGCCTTGGCTTGCCCTCCACTGGCAAGGGGACAAAGCAAACACATCCTCACCCTGTGTCCTCATCCCACAGGTCCCTTGCCAGAACCAGTAGCCAATGGTGATATAGGGAAGGTAAGAGCCTCGTCTTGATTTTAATTCCATGTATGCCCATCTCCAGTCAGGGACCCTCCTGTTCATGCTCCCTGTGCCTATGGGTGAGGGATGCCACCAGATCCTGCAGTGGTCTCAGCCTGCCACACAAGAGCTGGTGCCACTGGGAAGGGAACTGGTGTCCTCCAGGAAAGGGGATGCTTGTGCTGCTGAGTTTGATGGAGGTGGCTGTTTTCCTGCTCTCTTTTGCCTTCTGATACTGCAGGGCTGGGAGCCCTTGTGCTGCAGTAGGGAAGTAGCACCCAGCCCTGCAGCAACCCTCCTCCTCCTCCTCCTCCTCCTGCTAAAGCCAGGGCGGTCAGGCCGGGGTTTAATCCTTGCCGGCCCCGATGGGCAGCGCTGGAGGTATTTATGTGCCTGGAGCTTGCCGGGGATTACGTGCAGCAAGGACGGATTTCATGGCCCCCTGGGTGGGGTTTGCGGCTCTGGAGGCTGTTGTCAGGCCCCGGGGCTGGAGCTCACGCTGTGTCCCTGCTCCCCTCAGGAGAACGGGGCC